TTTTACTTAAAATATAAATTAACTTTTTAAGAATAGTGTTAAAAAATAAATTGATTTAATTTTAAAACAAATTATAGAAAATAAAATAAATGAATTAATGCAACTAAAAATATATGCATACAAAATCAAAAAATCATATAATATCAAAACTTTATATATGGGTAAAAGAATATCATATAATAAGTTTTTTTTAGTTAGTTTTACTATATCTTGCATTATAAATAACGTAACAAGTTAATTTTTTCCTGATATTTACTTTTAATGTTCAATATAATGTTCAATACAACTTTTAATAGTGTTGAACATAATTAAAAGTCTATAAATTAATTCCTGACTCAAGACATTTACTCTTTGAGGCAGATGGGACACCAGTGTTCCTTTTATATACTTTTAGACCCTTTAATTTCAAATGAAAATATATTTTGGTATATTTTAATTATAAGGGACAGTCTAATAGTTACTAAAAAGATTTGTTAGATTATCGGAATTATATTTGTATTAAAATATATAATCCAAAAATAGTATATTGAAAATCTTTTTTTTCAAATATATTCAAAAATTATAATTGATTTTGAGAATTAAAGAAATTTCAGTGATGAATAACTGTTTCTCAAAGATCTAAATAGCAGCAAATAAGCGCAAATTTGAAAATTATTGTTTCATCAAAGCAAAGCAAAAAAATACACAAATGCTTCATGCTGTATTTCATAATAATAAATTACTAAAATGATAATTATAATATTTTTACTTTTTTACCTAAATTAGTGCAAAATCATGAAAAAATGTATGAAAAATATGATAATAAAAATTCTGCCTCAATGGGTTGCGTCTTTACCGGTATCTTTACCTGTTATGAGTTTTATCTGAATCACTAAGCAAATAAAAAAGCAAATTGACCAGGCTAGCAACTTTTAGCACGTAAAATTGAACTCCGGACGAAGCCGTGATAAACAAAAGCTCTACCCATAACACCGAAAGGGTTGCTGCTTTTATAAAATTAATAACAGTGTAATTAAATTAATTGAAGTAAGATTTATCACCGTTTAAAGATAGGAATGGAAAAAACCAGTATTTTATCGTAACTCTGCTAATAAGAAACTCTATTATATTCATTAGAATAATAATTTTAGTGTATTTATAAAATATTCTTGCTTTTTTATTAACTTCTTACATTACTTGTTGTGTAATAAAAATGTATAAATTGAACAAACTAAATTTCAAAGTTTTTAAACTGAGAAAATTAAAATTGCAACAAAATCCGTTCAACACAAAATTTTACAATTAACTTTCAAATAAGTTTTTTAAAAAAAAAACGGCAGAAAATTTTAAATAGCTCCAAATACATATACTTCTGAAATGTAATCTTATGAAAGTTTCACTAGTTGACAATGAAATGTTTTTCTAATGTCAGTTTTAAAAAATTTCTGGAATGTTATTTGAAAAAATTATTTCTGGTATAATTTAGAAATGTTTCAAACATATCAGAAACATTTCAGAAACTTTTCAAATGCGTGCGAAACACTTCAAAAAATTTTCAATTAGAAATGCAGAAGAGCAGACATTTCTACGTTTTAAGGGGTAAAAAAAACCTTTTTGAAATTTTTTATAAGTTCTTTATTAATTAAAATCAAAAGAATTTAGAAAATTCAATGAAGAAAAGAAATATTTCCTTAAATAACAATTTTAAAAATGTCGTATATTAAGATTTTTGAATAATTTTGGTACCACTTTGCATTTTATTTATTAAATTGTTGTATTGCAATAATTTCTAAGAAAATTTTAAGCAAATTGAAAGAGAACTACTCTTTAACACTAGAAATCAATAAACTTAAAATAAAAAACAAAATTTTACTATTAAAATTCAAATTAGTCGGAAAAAAATGATCAAAAATGTCAAATAGCCCAAAAAATATATTTCCAAAGTGTAATCTCATAGAAGTTTCCCTTATGGTTGATAAGGAAATGTTTTTGTAATGTTAATTTTAAATCATTTATGTGATGTTATCTATATATTAGTTTTGGTATGTTTCAGAAATATTTCTAATGTATCAGAACCATTTAAGAAACTTTTCAAATACAAGCGAAACAACTCAAAAGTATTTCAATAAGGAATGCAGAAAAGCCGACATTTCTACGTTTTAAGCGTTAAAAGAAACTTTTTTAAAAGTTTTTAAAAAATTTTTCTAATCTAAATCAAAATAAAGAGAAAATCTAATAAAGTAAGAAATAATTACTTTCTTAAATAATATAGTTTTAAAAGTGTCGTTAACTGTGATTTTTGAATAATATCGGTACAAAAATATATTTGATTTATTAAATTTTTTATGTCAATAATTTGCAAGAAAATTGAAAGCAAATTAAAAGAGATATGATCTTTTCAACAATACCAGAAGGCAATAACCTTAAAATTAGAAACTTGCTTTTGAATTTAAACTATTTTGCAAGATTTTGTTTGTTATTTTTTAAATTAAAAATTACATTTTATAACATTTTTATTTAATTCAGTATAATGCCTTTCAATTGTATTTATAATTAGATATTTTTATTAACATAATCAGACTACGGCTCTTTTATATATAAATATATTTAGAAAAAAGTAGGTTCATCTTATTATAAATACATGCAACTAAAAGTTGCGAATTAAGTAAAAAATTTGCTTTTAAACAAACAACATTAATAATGTTCTATTATATTATGTTCTTTTTTAAATAACTTTCTTATTTCTTTAATAATGAATAGCTATAGTTTCAAAGAACACTTTCAGTTTCACTTAAAACATGAAGTTATTTTCAATTTAAATACCAAAAACCTATTTTCATTCTATGAAATGATAAATATGAAAATCGAATTGATAATTGAATTTCGAAGCGGGAAATCACTTTTTCAACAACATATTTTCCATAGTCATTTTTTAAAAAAAAAATATTCTTTCCAACCCTCTAAAACATCTGCTATTTACTTTTTTGAAATAAGTATTAAAACTTTCTTCCAAAAACCTATTTTTTTGAAAAGCAATATTTCATGTAGCCATATATTTCAGTTTTCAATAATTATATTCAGATTGTATTAATTATGTTAAGAATTTATGTTTTCGTAAATTTGCTTTCTTACTAGGAAATATTCTGTTAGCAAATATTGAAATTATTAAATGAAGGAAAACTTAATGATAAAACTCTTATGCCTACATTTATTTAATTGAATTTTGAAACTTTATTGTAGCACAATTAAAATTTTGGTTTATTAGCTTAAGAATATTAATACCATAGACTTTCACGAAATAACGAGATTAAAGAAACATAATAACTGTTCTGAATTCCCAAATTCTAGCTAAAAGCTATTCTTAAAGTTAAACGGAGAAAAGAAACTACAAATAGATATAATTGCTAAATTTAATTTTTTTGTTGCCTTTTTCATTATTATAACTAATACTTTTTTAAAAACTTTTTATTTTACTTTTTGGAATAAACTTTTAAGAAATAAAATTTTATTAGCAAAGAAAAAAAAAATAAAGATTAAATCTTTCTTATAAAATCATTTTTAAAACTAAAGCTGGTAATCTTGTTTCCTTATATTTTTTAAAGGATATTTGTTGCTCCAAGATTGTATTTCAAAAAAAACTAAGGCATAATTTGTATTTTTATAACGGAGTGACTCGAGTTTGATTTGAAATCCTTAAAAAGAGAGTAACTTCTATTAAAAGTTACATAATGTATTTAAAAAGAAATTACTTCTATTGGAAATTGCATGAAAATACAATACATCTGTAGCATTTAAATACACATATTTCGTTTTAAACATCAACTGTCAAAGTAGAAGAAAATTTATTTTTGAATCTAAGCTTAAACTTTCTTTGTTGTGTTGTTTTTTATTTGGCTCTTATATTTTACGCAGTAAGTATCTTATATAATTTTAGTATTTTGAATAACTAGCATTTTCTTTACAATGCTATTTTCCGCCAATGGGGTAAGTACATTCCAATTTCTAAAACAAAGACAATAATATGCAGCATTATAATGTTTTATTTACTTTTTTTTGGTACCTAACCTATTTAATTTCAAAGGTTCAGAAAAACAGTTTTCTAAAAAAATCTTGGATCAGTAATTTGCAAAACAATTATTCAAGTTTTTTTTTCAAATGTTCATATGGACCCAAGTAACTTTCAAATATCAAAATAATTAAATAGAAACAAAATAACAGAAAAAGAAACATATTAACAAGATTTTAAAACCGTAAATAAACATGATTGCATTTGAAACTAGATAAACGAATGATAATTTAGTATTACGTATTATTTTTAACTAATATGGACATTGCGCGAAAATAATACGAATCATCCAGAATAACTTTTGATCTAATGATCGGATTTTCACGTACTAGCACAAATTCTTAGTGGTTTGAAGATACTAATTAAATAGTACAGACGATATTAAGATGCTAAATAAGACACAAAACGCACTTTCTCCGAACATACATGCCTTTTTTCTGCAGATTTGAATTTTTGACTGTCAAAATGTAGAGCATAACCACAATCTGGGAAATATGGTCCTAATGATTTGCTCAGTAGAGCGGTTCAAAGTTAAGACCCCTTAACGTTAATTTTACTTTCTGCGTATTTTGATGGAATTATTTTTGGAATTTAGAATTTGTATTATTGCTTAAGTTTTAGCTTGATTTATATTAACTGTTCCATTTTTTTTTGTCCTTACTTGAATTAAATACTCATATGATTTAAAATAGATACATATAATGTATTTATGGCACTATAATATCTGGTGTTTTAATGAAAAATTAAAGCGCAAAAGACAATTTAAATGAATGAATACATTTCAAAAACAACGCAAGCTGCAAAAATTTAAACGTCTTAGGCAATCAAAATAAAAGTGGACATAAAACTGAAATTTTGAAATGTACATATGATTCTATTTTTGAAGAATAACACTTAAATACGTACTACTATATATTCAGTAAACGAAAATCATATTTTTATTAAGATATTTAACTACTAAAGTTACTATGTGTCTGTTAGAAATTAACTGAGTCTAAAATCATTAAATCACATGGTATCAAACAACTGTACAAATAATCCTACAAGTTTCGAACTGTATAATCTAACAGTCCTTATAGTGAGTTTTTAACCATAGAGAAACGTTCCTAAACTATCTTAAAAATGTTAGCAAATTTTAGAAATCTTAATTTATTGCGCTGCACCGAGATTGAAAAATATGAATTTTGATATTAATTTTTAGTATTGAAGAGTAGTTAATAAAAGTTATTTAAATAAATTAAACAATAATAGCTAACTATTTTGCCTATTAAACGTTGTAAACATTAATGTTAGAGGCGTGACAAAAATTTATTTCATACCCACATCTACTTAACAACAATTCTAACAGGTAATTATAATTTCAATTTTTCTTTTACCTCCTTTATTTCTATTGCTATATAATGAGGTAAATAAATATTTTATGCAATATATATTTTTCATTTAAATCCATTGATTTTTTAAATTTTTCCAACAAATTTTTCAGCATGCTCAATTATTTTTCCACGCGCAATATTTAGGTATTAATTGTAAACTTAATATTTTTTGAAATATAAAACTGAAGTAAAAATATATTATTTCATTATCATTGTTTGCAAATTGTGTGCATGTGTTCTTTTTCGACACACATTTACACATATGTGATTACAACTCCGTAACACACATTTACACATATGTGATTTTTATTTAGTATTATACATTTTGCATTCTTTGAGTTTCATTTGTTTTCGTTTTCTGCTTCCAAATTTGGCAAATGTTATTGTTGTGACACGATTTATTTGTGCTGCTTAGTGATTATTTTCCATGTTAGAATCGAATGCAATTGTCGGAAAACAGTCAACACTGTAAAGAATTCCGGATAAATGACTGCCAAAAGTAAAGGCACTCAAGGTTCCAGTACTTTTTACTGTAAAATCCATTTCTACCGGAACATGTTACGGAACAGAAAATCTGATGTACCGTAATTTTTATAATAATAATAATAACAGTAAAATCACTGAATCTTTCTAATGCAATAAATATTATTGTAAAAATTAAAATTTTAATGGATGAATGGAACGAACTATGTGTTGATTATCGTCTAAAAGAAATATCTTTTAGAAAGAAAAAATATTTGCTTACATAAATGACATAGTAATTGAGATATGGAATTAAAAATAACTGCATTTTCTTCATACACAGCAAATAATTCCGGATTAAATTACAGTGAATTACGGCACTCAGGGAGCCGGAACTTTTTATCCCAAAATTCATTTTTCATTAACATGTTACGGAACAAAAAATCTGATATACCGTAATTTTTACAGTAATAATTACTGTAAATTTACTGAATCACTCTTATGCAATAAATATTATTGTAAAAATTACGGTGTAATATTTTACGGAAAAAATTTTACGATTAAATGGATTTTACGGATGATGCATTCAAAGTGCATTCACTTTTATACCGTAATTTGATCTGAAATTTTTTTCAGTGAAATGGTCTTGACCGAAGCTAACAGAATTACTGACGGATAAAAAATTTATTCCATGCAAATTTTAGCTAAAATATATAATGTTCGACAATTTAAAACACAAAATTACTTCATGAAATACCGGAATCTTGTAAATGTATGGATTTTTATTCAAAGTATATCTGAAAATTTACTTTAACATCATAACTTAATTATTTCTTGTTTTCTTCCCACAGACTAATGCCGCCCACTGAAGAAGATGATTCTTTGCCTCAGTCACAAAGATCATGTGGCAAAATCGTTCTCCGATTACTCTTTTCTCACGTGGGTCTTTTCTTGTTGGTTTGTCTTTACGCCGGGTTCGGTGCTTACATATTCGTCTGTATTGAATACGATAATGAATCCCTGGTGAGGACAGAAAGATTGTACAGATCGATCGACGTGAACGATTCCATCGCTTACCTCACTAGCCTTTTCTGGTATTGGAGGAATAAAAATTTTACTTGGGAAGAATGGGATGCCAAAGTGTACGAGCAGCTCAAGTTCCTAGACAAATTCATAGTTGGAGTTACAAAGAACTTTTCTTATGATAGTACAATGGACATTGATGAATGGCCAAGAAAATGGACATTCGGTAATGGATTACTCTATGCTGTGACCATTCTCACTACTATTGGTATGTTTTTCTTACTTTTCATCGATTGCTTATCAGAAAATTGTTTATAAAAGTATTATTTTTGATACCCGGATAAGCTTCTGAAGGAAACATCCGTACATATTATTTCAACCTTCTGTAAACCAAGGCAACTTTACCTCTCAGGGACAAATTTGCCAAAATTTTAAACAATGATATTTGAGATTCAAACAAGCTCGCGAGGAAAAAACACTGACAACCCACATCCTTCTGTAAATCAATGCAACTTTGCTACCCGGAACAGTTCTGCAAAATTTTTCAAATACGGTATTTGGCACTCGGGCAAACTCTCTAACAAAAGATATCTCCAATATTTAAATCAGGGTAATCTTGTTACCGTTGCGATTTTTTATAGCATTTAAGACCTTATACTTGACAGATCTCTCAAGTGAAACTTGTTTATACATTATCCACATTTTTCTGTAAACCAGGATATTTTTAATTTTTCTTTAAAAAAAACTGTAGAACAGTTTTGAAAAACTTTTAAAACGTAATTTTTGTTCCCCCTTAATTCTCCCGAACGAAACAGTTGTGTCTTCAATCTATTTGGTAGAGGAACTTGTTGGGACAATAAATTAAGTATTTTTACAAACCTTTCACGAAGCTGTCCGTGTAAGAGCTTAAATTTTTTGCTAAGCTGCTGAGGGGCACAATGTTTTTCTTTTTATCTCTCAATAAATCATCAGTTAAATTTAAGTCATCGAGCCAGAAATTAAATTTCAAAAATATATCTCGAAGACGTGATTGAAAACATTATCTTTCTAGGCTATGGCCATGTGACTCCATATACACAAGTGGGAAAACTGGTGACGATTTTGTATTCTTTGATTGGCATTCCTCTTACACTGATCTTCCTGGCTAATATTGGTGAATTGATGGCTTCTGTGTTTCGTTACACATACAGCAGACTATGCTGTCGATGGTGCAGGGGATCACGTCGTCGAAATGAGTATTCTAGAGAGTCTACTGTAAAGATGGACGGAAGACTACCGTCGCTGTCCTCAGATGAAGTTGGCCAAGAATCTTACATGCCCACAGAAAAAGTAAGGAACATAAAAAAGATTTAAATAATTCATAGATTAAAAGCTCTATAGACACATTTCAAACACACAGTAATTGCAAATAGTAAATCTTTAAAATATAATGTTCAATCAGAAAGTAAATCTATAATGAATACCTAAGCATTTATATTTTGTTTTTAAAAAATAAAAATAATTACGACTTTTGTTATTATTCAGGAAAGTATACTGAAAAAAGTCTTGTGAACTAACTTAAATTGCATTTTCATTTTCAGAATATAGATGTAAACTAAAGTTTGTAACTTATAGACATGATATTGGCGATTTAGAAACTGAAAGAGTACCGCGTAAGAAGCTCATAGTGCTGTTTTTGTAATTTGTATTACCCATTATCTTCTGATTAATGGATATAGATTCCATTTTCACTGTGCTATCTGTAGAATATTTTAAGACATTTTCTTCAAGTTATGAAAATTTTATTTTTTTGACTAAAATGTCCTCTCTGACGGGTGAATGAGAAAATAATATTTTTTTGAAATTGACTCTAAATTACAAAATTCACATTGAGAAGTCTTTATTTATTTTAAATTTGCATCAAATATAAACTGTCAATTAAAGTTGATCGGATTTTATGTAATAAAAGTAATTTTCTATAACTCAAAGTGAATCATTTGAAAGTGGTGCAACTGAAAAACTAGCGGAGAAAAATGTCGTAAGTCAGTTTTGAAATTTACCATGATTTAATAATCGAAAAATACACAGCATCCCCCCCCATTGTCTTTAAAAGGGAATTAAGGCGCACTAAGTGAAAAAAGAAAGAAATTTCTTTTCTGATTTATTAGTGAACGAAATTTTGCGATGACTATTGACCTGGTGTGTTTCAAATTTTCGTTTTTATCATTCTTATAGTGTTAAAAAGTGCAATACTTTTTATATCTGCAATTTAAATTTTTTTATTTATTACTAATAAATAATTATTTTATTAATTTTACTAAAAATATTTTTCTTGGTCAAACGAATTTATTATTTTGGATCCAAAAAGTTTTTGATTCTTCAGTTCTTGAAATATGATGGAAAGCACAAGCAAATAAAAACAACGATAAATTGATTTTGCACATTTTCCCGTTTAATCTATTTGAGAAATGATATTTATTTGAGAAACGACAGCAACTGTCTCCATGACTCAGAGATCCATCCGAAAAGGAGCTTTTGTAACTTTATTAAGTCAGTTCTACAACACATAACGTTTTTTTTTTGTGAATCTCCTAGTAGCACCTATAATGTGCCTCTTTAAACCATTAAGGTAACAGTTTTATACAGACAAAATTGTTGAATTTTTTTTATTGTAGGTTCTTTTTTTTTATTCCCGCTAATTCCACATTTCATTTTCTAATAATTTGAAAGATAAAATATACTTATATTGTTTTAATATAGTTTAATATTAGACTTAAAAGCAAATTTAATCAATCTACAATGCGCATTTTAAGAAATTATTCCCGCTGAGAACGGGAAATTTTACAGCATCCCTATTTCTTTCATTTTGAGAGCTGCTGTGTAACGATGTTCGGTATATTTTCTCTCTGTTCCCTCTTCTTGTTGCTGATTCACTTACATTCATTTTCTATTAGCTCACTGTATTTTATTGATCCATATTGATCATATTCTTATTATGTGATCTGAGTAGGCAGGAAGTAAATGGAGTGTGAATTGAGTAGGCGGGCGATATATCCAACAATGAAGTAAATAAAATTAATCTCCTGTTTTTTTTTCCTTAGATACGATAAAACATATTCCAAAGTGGTATTTATCTGTGGAAAAAATCAGTTTTGTTTATGAGAAATTTTAAATATTCAACAATCAAGTAAATAAAATAAATCCCCTGCAATTTTCCTTCGGTACAATAAGGCATGATATTTATTTGCGGGAAAAAAAATAGTTTTGTTCGTGAGAAATTTTAAATATCCAACAATCAAGTAAATAAAATAAATCACCTGCAATTTTCCTTCAGTACTATAAAACATGTTCCAAGCTGGTGATATTTATTTGCGGAAAAAAATAGTTTTGTTTATGAATACTTTTGAATACCCAACAATCAAGTAAATAAAATTAATCCCCTGTAATTTTACCTTAGATACAATAAAATGTATCCCAGAGTGGTATTTATTTGCTAAAAAATCAGTTTTGCTTTAAAAAAAATTCAATTTTTAAAAAAAAAATTATTTTGGAATTGCTTAAGATATTTTGCAATTTTTAAACACATTTTCTAACCCCATAAAAAGACTGTTTCAAGAAAGAGAATAAAAAATTCTCTAAATGTTTCTTTATTGGAAGAGCAAACTAAGTTTAAATAACTTTGGATTAGTCATGCGAAAAAGCAATTCGTATTTTTTCTTCTGAAAATTTTTCTTCCTGGTGCACTTATTGTGTTTTAGGAACTAAAGATAAGATAAAAGAAAGAAATTTTAAACCTCATATTACTGATTAAAAACTTCATTCTCTTAAAAAACATACAAATTGGAAATAATAGTCGATATGTTTCGAGCGTTCAAAAAAAGGCGCCCATTTTCAAGACTAGCCAGACGAGAAGAAGCGTAAGTGATTTGAAATAAAAACGCAAATTTGCCAAAGAAAAAGGAAAAATTTAATATTACAAACCTCATGTCTTATTAAAACCTCTCACATAACTATAGATAACATTATCGTTAAAAATACTTTTAGATTTCATCATTTTATAACATTATTTTTATTTCTCCAAAATTTTTATTTCTTCAATATATTTTATTCCAGTTCCTACACTAGAATAAAAAATATTTTAATTTAATTACATCAGTATTTTTATTCTTCATTAAATATTAATTTACATCAAATTATGTAATTTTTTATAGAATTTTTAATAGCTTTAAAGTTTATGATTGTAGTTTTGAAGCTTGATAGAGCAGTTATTTTTATTTCAATGTAAGGAATGGTTATTGCTTCATTTTTTGAAAACTTTTATTGAACAGTGCTAAGTTTTTATTGTAAATCAGAATCGCTACTATGTTTTTTTTTTTTTTTTTTTTTTTTTTTTTTTTTTTTTTTTTTTTTTTNTTTTTTTTTTTTTTTTTTTTTTTTTTTGCTAAAATTGTCCAACCGAAAAGCTTTATTTTGATTCTGTCTTTTAATGAAATTTCACTCATTTTAACCCATAGCTGCCAACCTGAATAGGAAAAAATCCAGTAGATTTTACGAAATATTGTAGATTTCATGATAACTGTTGCACAATATATTAAATATTAGGAATTTTTTTTTGTAATCAAAATACAAAGTCTGCAATATTGTCCGTTTATGATAAACATTAAATGAACTTAAAATATTTTTTTGCTACGTCAACTCATAATTTTACATAGTAATTGACAAAAAAATGTATTATTTATAGTTAAACGATTTTTTAATTAATTTAAAAAGGGAGTTCTGAATTAAAATAAACTGAAAATTTTAGGACAAAAGAAAAAGAAAAGCTTTAAACTTATTACTATAAATGGGGCTTGTTTTATTACATTTTAGCAATACTTATTTGAATATTCAAGCATGCAATAAATTGAGTGAGCATAGTATTTAAATAGGGATTTTTTTAGAAAACTTACTCAATTTCATTCTGCAATATAGCATTTTAGTTATGAATTTTATAAAAAAAAATGAAAATTGATTTTGGTGAAAATGTTTAAATTGATAATGGTTTAAATCCTTATTAAATCAAAAAAAAAATTACTATAAATGGGGCTTGCTTCATTATATTTCAGTAATGCTTATTTGAATATTCGAGCATGCAATAAATTGAGAAAAATTCTATTTAAATAGGGATTTCTTTAGAAAACTTACTCAATTTCATTCTGCAATATAGCATTTTAGTATAATTTTATAAAAAAAATGAAAATTGATTTTGGTGAAAATGTTTAAATTGATAATGGTTTAAATCCTTATTAAATCAAAAAAAAAATTACTATAAATGGGGCTTGCTTCATTATATTTCAGTAATGCTTATTTGAATATTCGAGCATGCAATAAATTGAGAAAAATTCTATTTAAATAGGGATTTCTTTAGAAAACTTACTCAATTTCATTCTGCAATATAGCATTTTAGTATAATTTTATAAAAAAAATGAAAATTGATTTTGGTGAAAATGTTTAAATTGATAATGGTTTAAATCCTTGCAAAGTTTAAAAAAAAATTAAATAAAATATA